GGGGGTGGGGGTGGAGGTGGGGGGGGAGGCACAAGAAGTAACAGACTCCAACTCATTCCTTTGCCCTACTTCTGGCTACTGATGTCTGGTCACCAGCCCATCTGTATCACTGCAAATTTTGACAGGCAAAGCCAGTGGAGTTGGAAACCAGGCTGTGATGCCCCCCCGGAAATGGCAGTTCCTGGTGCTTTATCCTGGTCCACAATGCCTGAACCCAGGAGCCAGCCCCAGGGCATTAGGACTTTGCTCTGCTGACTCAGCAGGGCCAACAGAAGCAAAAAGCAGTATGCAGACTTCAGTCACTCCATCAGCACCTCTGCCTTTCCAGCAGCTGAGGAGCAGATCCACTGAGTAAGGAGGTGCCATCTTTGCACAGATACTTCTCAGAGTGGAGCTGCACTTTGGCTTCAGTTAGGGGCTGGCATCTAACTCAATCCTGTCAGGGGACCTAGGAACAACACTATAATGAGCCCTTCCAACAGCACAGACAGGCCATTAGGAGTGGCCATCTAGACCCAATTCTGCCCTCAGCAACACTGGCTTGAATCTTCAGTAACATCAACAGAGACCACAGAATTCCTAGTATGCCTTTTACTTAAAGGACTGCACCTACTTGGAGGCTGCAAAAAATATGCTGATGAGGGATTATGCAGAATGGAAACCACAAGTGTCCAGCACGCGACTGCTGTCATGACCTCTTTTGAATTATAGAGCCCTGGATTCTGAGCTCAGTAAGTGGTTGGAGGGCTCAAGTCCAGGGGGAGCCGGGGAAGCTGAATACAGTGAGGCAGCTGGCAGGCAGCCAGGGGTGAGCTGAAAGAGTGAGGCTTTCCATGGCTGCAGGTGCCAAGAGCCCTGCAGAGAGGACTTGGAATAGTTCCCAGAGGGGAAGCAACAGAGCAGTGTCCTGGGCTAAAATGATTGTCATCAGCAGCAAAGAAAGCTGCTTGACTCCACCTGACAGTAAAACTCCTGGAATGGTGCCTCTGAGAGCCCCTGTGAGCCCTAGAGCAGCTCTTACAAATGCATCGGCAACAGTCCTGACCCCACCCAAAAAAGCCCCGTTCTGCTCTGACCTGCCAGAGTATAACCTTGATCCCAGCCCCAGAGATACCACCTGTGCTGCCCTGCTGTTCCACGCAGCAGGCTTGTTGCTTTTGTATTGGGTCCAGCAGTTGGGCTAGAGCACTATTTACCTGCATCCACCTGTCCTACCCGGCTTCACCTGCTGGGAGTTCTCCACACAGCGTACATATCATTACTGTGCTGAGCTGTGTCCCTTTGACAACTGGGAATGAATGCGTTGCTGCAGGGAGTCTCCCAGCTCTTCTGGGCACTGAGGAGCTGCCTTCATCTTGTTACCTCAAATCCTCCTCTGACCCCAAAGCACACAATGGCAGGCTGTCAACACAAAGAGTTTCCCTCCTGACTATCCCTGGCTCTGTCACTGTCTCACTGTATGGCTTTGGGCAAGATCCTTGACTTTCTGGGCTACCTCTGCCACATCTAACATGGCCAACCCCCATTAATTAACTTTTGTTTAAAGAGCAGCTAAGACAAGGCAGCATGGATTGTAAACCCAGAGAGAAAGCTTGAGCACAACTCCAGGCTCCCGTCTAGGTTCAAGTGCCCATGGCTGGCCTCCTGGTGTTCTGATCTGAATCAAGAACACCCTTCATTGCAGCAGAAACACAGCTGGAGACCCCCTGATGAAATGCTTGGAGACCCCCAACAGAGCGGTGCAATAAATAGCAGCCTATAAACACAACCCCAGTGCTGCAGACGGGCCATCTCACTCTTTGAATCATTGACACATCTTCTAAGTAATGCTGCTTTGTGAGGAGGGTATCATTACTCTCTCTTTTCAGAAAGCAGAGCTGAGACCCTGACGAGTGGTGTTTTGCCCATGGGCAGACAATGACACAGTGACTGAGCTGGAATTAGAACCTATGGACTCCTGCCATGTCCTAACCACTATATAACACTGCCCACCATTTAAATTGAAACAGAACCATCCGTGTACCCATCCTAATGTCTGAACGTTCATGCTGGACGCACTCTGCTGGGCTGGAGTGCTAGGCCTCTGATGCACCGATCCCCAGCAAAAAAGCCTGTGCCACATTTCCATGGAAGGAGGGTGTAGATAGGAGGTTTGTGGGGGCATATGGTGAATGGATACCAGGTGGAGAGAATGGACTGAACCATGGTGGAATGTGGGACAGGAGGAGAGTAGCTGATGCACTTTTACACTGGAGCTGGGCTGCAGGATGTAGAGGGTGCTCTGTAGGCGAGCTTGCTGCTGCACAGGCCACTCAGCTGCTCCAGGCTGGGCTGGGGTCTGGTTGGGCAGACCCTTCTACACCCCACAGTTCTGACCAAACAAATGGGAAAGTGGAGGACTGACGGCTCTGCCAGCCAGAGCACCAAAGCCTGAGCACAGAGCCCAGTGGCAGAAGGCAGAGTGGATAGGGTGAGGGGGGTCCCTGTGATGTGGGGAAGAGGGGAATGAAGTGGCAGGATGTGGAGGAGAGCCCCTCTTGCAGCCCAGTGCTTCCACAGTGGTCTGCATGGATGAGAGTTCAGGGCCGAGCCCTAGCAGGTGGCCACAGTGCCAGGAGCTAGGCAGACCAAATTCCTCAGTCTGTGAGGGGCTGGGTGCTCTGGTCTCACATTGGCTGTGATGGGAGCTGTGGGTCCCCATCCTGTTGCAGGGCTCACTGACAGTTTGGGGCTGATGCACTTCAGATCTCATTCTGCCCTGCCAGCTGGGTAGTGCGTTTATGCCCAGTGAGTGTAAAATGCATCCTCTGACCTGAAAGTGCTGAGCAGAGCAGCCTCAGAGTGGCCCGAACTCGCTTGCCTCTAGGGAGCCTTACCTTGGGGCCTGAAGCCCGCCACTAAAACATTATCCACTAGAGGTCACTGCAAGCTCCCTAGGAACCTAATGAGGCCACTAGGAAGCGGGGAAACAGAACTTGGTGACAAACTGAACAGGAGGACTGCGAAGCGCCTGCCCTGCAGCCCTGCCCTCCAGGCTCCCCGCCTCGCTTGCTGGATGCAGCATCCTCTGACATGATGTTGTGCCCCTTCCTTCCACCTGTTTATGCTCCCTGCCCAGATTCAGAGCTTGACCCAGCTCCTGGCAGACTACAGGCAGGGGCTGCTCTCACTGCTGGGAAGGGGCATGGGCTCAGCCCCTGCCTGGGTAGGCAGAGCAAGGTCAGAGCTGGCTCTGTGGAAGCAGCAGAGAGGTGAGGGCTGGTGTCGGAGCTGGCACAACTCCATTTGGCGCAGACGTGGTGAGGCTCGTGCTCCGGTCTGGCTGGGGTTTCTGGCCTCTGTTGTGAGAGGCAGCATATGGGTCTGATATATGGATGCTCCCCAGCCTCAGGTGTGCACAGCCAGGGGACCCTTCACTTCAGATTACAACTCCCAATACAAACAAGCAGACCCTGTCTGGGCCCTGTCACTAGGCAACCAAAATACAGATGCTGCTGCACTTTGAGAGCACACTTGCTGCCCTGACTTTTGATCAGCAGTGTACCTTCTGTTGCCATGACAATGGACCAGTAACCACGGCCTTGGGACTGCTTGCAGCAGTGAGAGAGGACATTTTCCAGCCCCCTTCCAGCAGCGAGAGCAATGGGGTTTCCTGCTGGAGGAGGGAGGCTGCCTGGTGTCCACTGGCCCGGGCCTGGGGTCCCCATGGGAGATCTCAGAGGACTATACACCCAGTCCATTCAAAACCCTAGCAGAGGTGTTATCCTCCCGTTTGTACCAGTGTCTAGGGGCAGGGTAGGCATCATGTCTAGCACCTAGGCCAGAGCTACTGCTACTTTGGGCTTCCTCTCCACATGACCTGACCCTACCTCAGCCAAAGGTAAATCTTTCCTTGGCCTTTGTGCAAGCTGGATTAGCCCCAGAAAGCCCTTGTGGAGGGCAGCGAGGCCTTCAGGGCTGAGCTGCTGGTTTCTGGCCCTGGCTCGACCTGGTCAGTGCATGAGCACATGCAGCCCTCTTTTCAGACCTGGGATCACGTGGACCACTGTTGGCAGGAATGAGATGCTGTCAGGTCCCAGGCATCCCACCATCTCCCATGATTTCATGTCAAAGTAAAGGCTTCAAATGGACCCAGTTACTGGGGCTTAGGCCTGCTCCAAGGCCCAGTCTGATACCACACCAGTTTTCTTTTGAAGGCAGGCATCTGCTCCCAGCCTGGCACTAGGCTTCAGGATTGCTGAGCTTCCCAAGCTTCATCCTGTTAGGTCACCAGAGACAGGAGACAGTTCACTGAGCTGTCCTGGGCTCACAGCTCCCTGGAGCAGAAGCTCTGGGTGGCTCTGCTTTGAACCCAGGAAGGCCCCGGTTAATGACATGCACTTGGGAACGGAGACCCCTGCTTGTGAGTGTCTCTACCCTATGGTCAGCTCCACAGTGGGGCAGGAGGCAAGCCTCCCTGAAGCCTGTGCCGGAGCAGGGGACTCACCATCCTCTGGCGCCGCTGCCTCCTGCGCAGCCGCATGAACTCCTTGTGCTGGCGGGAGACAAAGTTGACAGCTGCATACTCCAACAGGGCAGCAAAGACGAAGACCAGGCACACTGCCATCCAGATATCTATGGCCTTCACGTACGAGACCTGCAGAATCCAGAGGCCAGGTGGGTTGTGAGGCACCAGGCAACAACACATGGCAGCAATGCCCAGCTGGCAGGGATGAGGGCAGCCCCTGATGCCAGGCCTCCCAAAGTGTTCACTCATCCAGAGCCTCTCCCTTCTGCTTTTTCAGCCCCTGTTCTCACTCCAGTCCCTCCCCTCCTGCTAACCTCTCTCTTCTGCCCCACAGGGAGGACTATGCTCAGGAAGGGAGGGCAGTGCTGTCCTGCCCTTTTTAGGAGCTGTCCTAGTGTGGTGGCCCTGTGAGAGATGGGGAAGGGCACTTGTCACTGATTTGTGCCAGCCATGTCTTGCTCAGGAGCTTCTTTTCCAGCAGTGGGTCATGACAAGAGGGAAAGAGAAAATCAATTAGGCAGCACTTTACACATTTTCCACTCCTCTGCCTTCTCCTAGCTCCTGCTTTTATTAATATAGAGCAGCTTTCAACTCCTGTCCTTGCTCTCCCCACTTCCCTGAGCCCCCTGAAGCCCTGCCAAGAAGGAGAAGGGCAGCAGGGCTCTGTTCTCTCAGCCCTCCACCGCGTGATGCTCGTTCTGAGCCACTGAGCTGCCAGGGATAAGGAAGGTCTCACTCCCCATCAGTGCTGATTGCTGCAAGGCTTGGCCAGCTCTAGCTCCCTGCTGCCCTGTGCTGCTAGATGAGCAGTCTCCCTTGCATTGACTGCACCAAGACCCTGCTCACTCCTGGGGTGTAAGTACTCTAGTTCATTCCTTTGCTTAAGGCTGAAGAGTGAGTTCTAGGGCTGGTTAAGGAGAAGGGCTGTTCATCCCCTTTATAACCAGGCAGGGGCCAAGTGAACTTCACCTTCACACTTCTATACTGCTTCTGGAGATCCCAAGTCCTGGGCTTTCCAAAGAGTTCTGCCAACACCCCTTCATCCTGACCTGCAGCACCTGCTGCTATTCCACTCTCAAACACCACTGAGCAGAGACCGCTTGTCTTGCAGGTCTTTGCAATAGTTTTATGCTAAAGGAGCAGGCAGCAGGACAAGGGCTTCTAGGACATTTAACTTGTACTCAAGGCAGAAGCCTCCATCTGGCAGGACTGATTAGCTAGTGGTGTCCTTCGCTGCCTATTCCTGCTCTGTGGGGCAGTGTCCCCCTTGTTGTGTGCCTGTGCAGCATCAAGTCAACAGAGCTCCAATCTCAGTGAGGGCAACACAGCCCCTCCAGTGTTAAATAAACCACAGCTGGTTCTCATCATCACATCAGAGCAGGGAGAAGAAGAGCCTTCAGAATAACCCTGTCCCCAGCGAAAGACAGACACACCCATTTTAATTCCGTACAAAACCTCGATGCCATCAGCTTTAAAATAACAGGGAGCCAGATTTTGAACTTCCCAGCAAACCAGCACCCACAGGGCTGAGTTCATTATAAATCCTGCCTGGAGTTTAAGCAAAGTTTTTTTTCCTTTCTTAAGTTGCTAACTGCCCTTTAATTACTCAGATAGGAAGGAGTGGGAACCTCCTTCCCAGCCTGTCTGTTTTTCTGCCTGTCTGTGCCCTCTTTGCATGTCTTTCCACTTGGATGCTTGTGATCAAGGAAGCGAGTCTCAGAAGTTTATTACCAATTTCACTCTCAGTGGTTCAGTGCCAGGGTTGCAAGTGCAACCATAAGACTGTTTATTTGCTTTAAAGGCAACAATTTCTACTGGGGTTAGAACACGCAGGCCCAGGAATCCACATGTTCTACTTATACCTTAGGTTCTTTGGACAATAGTGACCTGCCCACTCCTACAGCCTATTGCCCCTCTCTGTACCTGGGTGAGGCAGCTTCAGTTCTTTCACTTAGGCAGTTTCAGATCAATCCTCAATTTACTGGCATTTGTTTTCTCTCTGTGCATGTGGTTACGTGACTAATAAGGCCCTGGAGAAGCCATAGTGTCATTTTCCAGACACACTGGATGCAGAAAGAAGAATCCTTCTCCTGAATTAGGAAACTATAAATAGTTCTCATGAGCAGATGGGCTGTGTGTATTGGCAGCTGCAGGCCTGGCCAAAAGGGAGGTTTCATGGCAGGAGGAAGGCAAAAATTGAAGCACCTTCAACTTTACAATACAACAAGGAGCACATGACCACAGGCTGCACAAGGCATTGCGCTGCTGGGGGAGAGGGACCATCTCATGCTTACCCCTGTCCAGGCTCCTTGATCCTTAGCTGCAAACCAACCTGTTCTTTCAGGGCTGAAATACCTCAGTGTTGTACACGAATACCTCAGTTTTGTACATGACTACAGTGCCCCTCCCAGCTAACCTGCAGCCTCAGGATTGGGCTCCACATGCAGTCTGCTAGTTCCCCTCTATCGTGACTTGCAGTTCACCCCCATTCCAGTGGCAGTTTCTGTGTCTGCAGCTGTCAGCAATTTTGCAGTTTGCCACATCACAGAAAAGAAAACAACCCCCCAGCCACTGACCTTTGGGAGGGAGGCCCGGGAGCCCGCACTCTGAGTGGTCATAGTCAGCACAGTTGTGATCCCCAGCCCTACCCGGGCAGGCGCGGCATCCATATTGATCCAGAAAGAGACCCAGGAGAGGATGACGATCAACAGGCTGGGAATGTACATCTGGATCAGGTAGTAGCCCATCTGCCTCTCTAGATGGAACTTCACCTCGATGCAGGTGAACTTGCCTGTGAGGAAAGGCCTAGAGCACATCAGCAAAAACAATCCCAAGGGCTGGGTAACCCTTAGAAAGCTTATGATGACCTGACCATCATCAAGAAGCTTTCAAGACTCTTGAGAACCTGGCACACATGCTGAGACTCTGGAAAGATGCTACCTCAAGGCCTGGACTAGGTGTGATCCTTAAAGGGCCCGGTGTGTGAGCCCTGATGTCCTGGACAAGTTATAACTCAGGGATGTGCCCCCTGCTCTCTCCTCCCTCACATTCTCCCTATTGAAGCTGTTTTACAACTCAGAATTATTCTCTTGCTCCCAACTGGAACTTCCTCTAAGTCCCCTCTGTTGCCAGTGGTGAGGTGCAATTCACCTGTGCTCTAATGCTGCAGGGGCATGGCCCTGCTGGGCACTCACCTGTGTTGTAGTACTTGGTGCAGTATCCCAGATCCTTTTCATCCCTCAGAATGAACTGGGGGAGTGTCAAGCCTTCTGCCACTTGGACAGCTTCTTGGTCCTCTAGCCACTCAAATATCAGGTCATTCATGGTGTAGCCAACTGGAATACAAGCAAGAGATGAGACAGGATTGCTGCAGTGAGGGAATGAAAGGAAACCTCTGGGTGGCTCTAAAAAGGGAGGGTGCTGGTGAAGCAGGTCTGAGGCTGCTCTGTACTGCTGTCTCTGAGTCTCTACACTACAGGGTGCTGACAAAGGACTTCCCCACTAATATTTTGCCCATGTAGCAGTAAAGGACTTGGCACAGTGGGCAACTTCTGATCTCTCCTGCAGGCTATCTGCATGGAGGTGGGATCTGCCCTGCCTAGCCAGGGGTGCTGGAATGCTGTCTGCAAGCTGGTCTGCAATATCCAGGCATTCATGTCTCAGAAGCTCCAGGTGAAGGTTTGGTGAGGAAATAAAAATGTGTGTCCATGAGCCCACCCTGCCCCAGGCACCAGCAGGCTCCTGCACACACATGCAGCAGCAGTCATAACTGAGTGCACACTGTGCCCAGAGAGGCGGCAGCCACAGGGATTCCTACAGTGACAGATGTGCTGGCAAGCAAACCTGCCCCCATGCACTGTGCACATTGGGAGCTATGTGCTCACAGAGACTCTAGATACTGCACCAGGGACACATGCTGGTGCTCACAGTCACTCTGGCATGCACAGCACTGGAGCCACACATGCAGGTTTTTCTACCAGCTGTGGTCTCTTACCAGGGGCTTGTACACAGTTCAGGGCCTATCTATCACATCCCCTCCCTGTCCTCTCAGCCTCTCAATGGCTGTTATGTGGAACGCCCCCTCCCCAAGTGTGGGATGCTTTGACTACAGGGTCAGGCTCCCAGTACCCCCATAGCTGATCACTGATCAGTTTCCCCTTTCCCTTCTCTTACCTGCTGTTCCCCTTGCTGCATCTCCACATGCCCCCTCCCCCTCCATTTTTACCACCATTCACCCCTTCTTTCCACTTCTCTTTCTGCTGTCCCCATTCATCTCTCTTCCCTCCCCACTCCATTGTCACCCCTGCTTCCTTCTCTCCCTGGCACCTGGCGGCCTCCACAGGCACAAGGGAGGGGAATGGGATAGGTGGCAGTGTGCATGGGCAAAGTGGGCCTGCTGTGCCGTTATGACAGCCCCAGGGCACTGAAAAAGTACCCCTCACTCCTGCTGCCTGAGCTCCTCAGTCCCACATTAAGCAAGGCTGTGGGAAAGCCAGATCTGTTGGCAGGGGTGACATGTAGAGGGTGCACAGGGGTGCATGTGCACCCCCTGAGAGCACCAGTGCGTGTCCTATTAGGCCACACTCCCTGTTTAGCTGGCAGACGGTGGGGCAGGCAGAAGCACCAGTGCCTCCCCTGCGAGTGCTGGCTAGGGAGCGGGGACACCAGCAAAAGTGGCTGCGATGCTTCCGGAAGTGGCTGCGGAGCTCCAGAAGCAGCACGACCACTTTTATGGTGAGTGAGATCGGTTCCCCCATAGCCAGTGGGATCAGCTGCTGGAGGACCACCCCCCCATTGACTCAAGAGGCACCAGACACCCATGTTGCTGGCTTCCCCTGCTGCTGCTGGGAACAGATAAGAAAATGGGAGGGGGGAGGAGGGGGTTTTTGGAGAGCTGAAGGGACATGCCCTCACACCTGCCTTGCATGAGCAATGCCCTGTCAACTGTGGCTCTGTACTTTCAGGTACTCACAGCTCTCTAGCTGCATTGTGCACGTCTGGATGTCCATGGGGAAGTTCTTGAGATCCATGGGGCAGGAGAGGATCAATGTCAGTCTGGGAGAAGCAGACAGAAAGGAGTAGGTTTGCTGGAGCCTGACATTCTGGGGAGTCTCCCTGCTGTCTTCAAGAGCAGCACCATAATGTGAGGGGAAAGAAGGGCTGGGCTGGTAGCCCAGGGCTAACAGCAGGCACAGACTTCCTTACTAAGTCTAGGTGTGGTGACTCCCTCACCATGAGCAGTCTATGGGGACCTTCAGCAATCCAAGCACAGGCCTGCATCACTTGTGCTACTGAAGCAATTCCATTGGTGGTAGCATTAGTAGGATACTAGCCACTGGGAAGACATGCATGGAGCCTGCAGGTTACACATTTTGTGTCAGGAATTGCTGGAGTTGTTCTCAACTCCCTCCCACTTTTCCCTGAAGGACACTTGCATTACCCATCACCCTTGAGGACCCCCAGCTGGTACCGGATGCTGTAGAGCACGTTGCCGTTCTTGAAGATGCGCAGCAACTTGTTGTCGGTGGTGACCTCATGGAAGTTGGCTCCCTTCTCATTGGCAAAAAACAAATCTGGCTTCCAGATGGAGTCCAGCATGGAGGGATCCAGGTCCAGTGAGTCATCTGGGTACTCCCTGTAGGCCAGGCGGGGGTCGTTCCATTGCTGGCGCAGGAAGACATTCACTCGGTAATCCTAGGGAAAGAGGGGCACCCATCATAGCTAGTGAGGGAGTGGGGATGGTTCTTCCTGCAGGTGCCCTCCATGACTGGAGACCTGGGGGGCAGCAGGATGAGTGGGACTGGGGAAGAGGCAGCCAAAGAGATGGGGAGTGGTGTGACCCCTTGGGCTGGTGGCTGCTGTTGGACAAACACAGGTGTCTAGAGATGTAATGCTGGTCTTGGCTTGCTCAGCGTAGATCTCTGTCCTGCAGCCCTGACTACTGCCATGTCACATTTGGTTAACAAAACATGGAGTATTGTGTGACTGGGAAACCAAGTACTAGGGACTTCACAGGGGCCTCTGGCTGGGACACGGGCAGTGTTACTGGATTTCACCATTAGGGGACTTTGGCCCATACCGGCATCAGTCTAGCAATGACTTTAGCCCTAACACAGTTTCCAGCCCTGCCCTTCTGACTAGCTGCCTGCCCCACTTCCCTGTCTCCTGCAGCCTGCCCTCTTCCTTCTGCATTCCATGTCACTCTGTGGGTGGGACACATGCCAGCATTCAGACTTGTAGCAGGTTACCTTCCCTGGGACACAGCATGTAGCATCACAGCAGCTGCTATGCCTCATGCTTCCTCCAGTGTCACATGGGCCTAGCAGAGGACTTCAGCAATCAAAAACCAGGCCCAACATGTAAAGACAGACCAAGGATTTGAGGATTGGTTTTACGATTTTTCTGGCGCCTGTTCTATGAGGCTGAACACTCTGGAGTCGGCCTCACTGCAAAGAGGAGAATCCTCCTGCACTTACAAAGGACCACAGGACCTTCAGTGACCAGGAGTCAGCCAGGTCTCACATTCAGGTCTAATTTGAAAGCCAGTCAGCAGATCCAACAAAATGATGAGGCCCTTGGGCTCCTGCTGCTTGGTATATCTCAGGGAGCTTAGGTCCTTGGGGTGAGCCCTGGGGTGGGAGCCAGCAGGTGCAGTTGGCTGGCCTCCATACCGCATATCAGGATGGATGTGTAGTGCCCATGGGGTCAGCCGGGTTGTCCTGCCACATAAGGGATAAGTAATTTCTGTAGGAGCCAAGTCAGAGCAGCAAGACCTGTCTGTGGAAGGGGCTGATGCTGATTTTTGTTCTACCCTTCTCCTGCCTATCTTCCTCAAGGGCTTCCCCTTCCAAGGAGGCTCCTGCTTTCACTTTTTGCCATCATTAAGTGCCTCCTTCACTTGTCACTTGTTTCCTTCCTTACAAGATTTCTTGTCCATTCAACTCTCCTGACCCTATGAGGCTCCTGCCATTCCTCCACCCCACCCCAACCACCCTGCATTGCTCAGGCTTCTTGCCCCGCAGGCACCCCACATCTTCCCTATGAGTCTTTCAGTGCCACAGGCACTGGGTCTCCACAACAACCACAGGATTAACACTAGAGATGGGTTTGAGGGAACCCTCTGGTTCATACTAGGATGGGTCTGCCACCCAGGACCAAATGCTGAGGCCGCTGGAGTTTTCACATCCCAAGACCTGGAGCAAGGAAGAACAATGCTCAGTGCACAGTGCTCAGCCTGCCAACCTCCTCTGGAGCTCTGTGGGGATGGGAAGGGGCTGGGAAAGGAGGGAGGCACCAATGGTGCAGCTCTTACCATTGTGGTTTCTGTGACGGAGCCAAAACTGTTGATGAAGATGTTGCATGTCACATTGACGGGTGGGCCTGGGAAACAACCAGACAACACAAAACCTCCCTACAGCAGCTGGTGACAAGATGAAAGCTAAGCTACTGCTGTCCAATCTGCACCCAGGCACACACAGTCATTCATGCACAAAGTAACCGATCACACATGTAGACATGCCAAGACCATATCTACTCACAGGGGTAAATGTTCAGACACCCTGTTATACTTTCATACACACACATACATTCACTTGTATAGATGGATACATATATGGATATGCTTGTACATGTGCTGGATCCTCCCTCCTCCCTCCCCCCTTGCATTAACAAATATACCTATGGAAATGTGGGTTTCTGTCCCACCCATTGGTCCATTTAAAATTGCAGGTACTTGAGCTCTGTGTTTCCGCATGGAACATGGAACTGGCCACGAAATCAGCACTCAGGTTACAAGTCACTTCCTTTCTCTTGTGCCTCTGCCTCCCCATGTCCTTTTGTCTGTTCTGTCTTCTTAGCTCATGGGCATTATGGGTAAGGATGGTATGACCCTGTGTCTACCCAGCCTGTATCGCGATCAAGTCTTGATCTTAGTGGAGGCCACTAGACACTAGTGTGATTTTAACTACATTAATAGGACCAGGGACATAGGGCATGCCCAGGCTGGAGTAGCTGAAGGCTGCAAGGCTGGAGTGGGGGGGGGAGGGGCACTGGCTGTATTGGGTATAGAGGATCCCCAGGCTGGAGCAGTGGGGCCTGTGGGGCAGGGAGAGGAGCATTGTCTTCACTTGCCCTCCTACCCGTCTTGCAGACAGCACCTCTGAGAGCCCTGGGTTTGGGTCGCTTTGAGGTTTTCAAGCTTGGAGGCTCTTGTTACCTTTGAAGTTAGGTCGAATCCGGGCATCATACCCCGATGTTCGGCCCATGAGCTTGTCCAGAAAATCCGAGGGGGACATGGGCTGGGCAACACCCCTGGAGGCTGACTTGATCTCCTCCTTCCCTGAAACCAACCTGGGGAGAGGAGGGAGGTTAGCAGGCTATAACCCCCTCCCTGACAGCCAGGACTGCCACAGCATGTGCCTTTGGGTTGTACAAGTTGGGCAGGGAGTAGGGCTTTCTGGGGCATTGAAGGGCTGGTGTTCTCAGAGCTAGATATCTCTAGCATGGACAAAGGCATTGATTTGAGGAACCTTCCACTGCTGTTGTCTCAGCCTGTCAATGCCAGGGCAATGCTTGGTAGAAGCTCACAGCCTACCAGCATAGTCCCTGTCAGTGTCATAGATTCATAGATTAAGGGTCGGAAGGGACCTAGTAGATCTTCTAGCCCGACCCCCCGCCAGGGCGGGAGAACAACAAAAAACCCCAAAAAGAGAAACGGGACTCAAATGAGTCCAGCCAGGTAGGCATCCAGCCTTTTCTTAAAGACCCCCAGGGTAGGGGCCAGCACCACTTCCCTTGGAAGTTGGTTCCAGCTCCTAGCTGCCCTAACTGTGAAGTAGTTTTTGTGGATGTCCAATCTATACCTCCTCTCCATCAACTTGTGCCCATTGCTCCTTGTTATGCCAGCGGGCGCTAGGGGTCAGGACTACAAATACAAGGAACTGGGCAGGTAGATGTATCCCCATATCTCTAATCTCCTGTGTCTTTAGAATGACTTGGAGAGTGTTGGACAGTAACAGGCAGCTGCTGAAGTGCTCAGTGCTGCAGCATGGAGGTGTTCAGACCAGGGCGGCTAGCACTTCGTTCTCCTCTTCCCACTAACCATTTTGCAAGAAGCATCTGCCCTGGGGGTAGAGCAGATGCTGGATGGTGAAGCAGAAGTTTTGCAGCAGGTACAGAATGAACCAGGGGCACCACGCTGCCTGGCCTGATCCAGCACAGCTGCTTTTCAACCTATACCTCAGACCTGTGGCTTGATCATGCTAGCAGGCTTGTGGGCTTGGGATGGAGCAGGGACCTGAGGCTACCTGCGTATCTGATGTTGGCCCCTGGTGTCAGATCTCAAGAGCAGAGCTGCCTTGAGATTGTATATCTGAGCACTACCCACCCAGTGGCAGGTGCCATTGCAATAGTACTTGCAATGGTGCAAGCAGCAGCCTGACAGCTGGTCCCAGCCAAGAGCTTCTTCCTGCTCTGACACTCACTTCAAGATACCAAACAAATCCCTGAGCCTCACTGAGTGGAATCCTGCCTCCACAAGACTCAACAGCAAAACTCCTGGTGACTTCAGCAGGACCAGAATTTTACCCTGTGTCTCATTTCTCCTATTCGCCTATACTCAGCAATTCCACCATGTACCATATTCACCTGCCTCATAAGGGACAAGAGCATTAACCACTCAGTGTTTTCCCAGAGCACTGAAAGCACAAAGGCTCCTCCAATTATCACCTGTAATTGAAGCTATTTGCTTCCCTCCCTAACAGGCATTAATGTCCCCTGGTATATGTGGGCATTTCCCCTGATGTCCATGCAAACTGATAGCAGCTGGACACTCTAATTTTAACTTCCCTGGGGTCTTGTGCAGAGAGTCCTCACCCATGCAGTGTTGGAGAATGCCCATTGTCCCCAGAGCCTTATTAACCCTCCTAATAGCTGAGTGGTCCTGCTCAGCGACACCGCACTGATTTTGGTCAGGAAGCTCCCATTTGGAGTTTGTTATGGGGAAGGGGGGGCATGGTTTTGAAGACTGCCCATCAGGGCCATTTAAAGTGATTAGGGGCTGAGGAATACAGGAGGATAGGAGGGTGATGAATAGAGATGTCATCTCCAGTTTAGCTCGCTGTCAGTCAGACACCAGCTTGTAAACATACTTAGCGGGATGGGGTTTGCTGCTGCTGCTGCCAGGGTGTTCTTTCACCAAAGAGTGAGTTACAGGCCAGCTCAGACTAGTCTGCTACCTCCTGCCTCCCTGATTGTTGGGGGAGCTGCCCCAGCAACAGGCTGTGGGTGAGGGACTTGGTAAGGCAAGAATGACAAGGCACACCCATACATGTGATGGGATAGGCACAGAGCAGAAGGTGCTGCTCTCCCTTGAGCAGTTGGGGTGGGGGAGATGGCCAGCTTGCTGCCTGTCCCCCCTTTCTCTTTTCTTAATCGGCATTGCTTTTCCCTGGGAAGGAAGAGTGCAGCTCCCATGTCTAGGAGCAAGGTGGAGTTCAGGTGGTTCACCCTTAGCTGGTAGTTTTTGATCTGCCCAGGCACTCAGACAGCCTCAGCAGTTCTTTGCTGCCTGCATCAGGTTAGCCTTTTTTCATAATGAGCCAGTAAAGCAAACTTTTCCCATAGTTGCCACCATCATCGTCATCACATTATTATTATTAGGAGAAAGGATCATGTGTCTGACCTTGGTCATTGTTCTGATTGTTTTACAAGGCTGCATCAACACACAAGCATATCCCATCCCTCTCCTAGGTTGTCCACGTACCAGCCCAGTGGTGACGTATGTACCTATAGATCCAGGAAGATGCCCTTCCCAGCCACAAACCTACAGCAGGATGGCGGAAAGTGTCTCAGAATCCTTCTCCTCACCATTGCTGCAGGCATGGGGTAGTGTCCTGAGGGAGGCTAAAGTTGGTGCCTGCTCAGCTAGAGTTAAGTTGAGTTTGTGGCAGTAGGTCCTATGGAGACAATGTGTCACTCTCGGGAGCCTTTGTTGGGGGTGAGAGGGTCTCTTCCCAGTAAGCCACTAATACTAACTCCAGTTTCCAGAAAAATGAAAGGTAGTCAAAACCCAAACCACAGATCCAAGCACCCCTCAGCTCTGAGGGTGATCAGATATGGTTTGTCTCAGCTCTGACAAAGAGAAGACACTTCCATTCTGACCTCTCAGGTTTCCAGACCAGTTTTCTAAGTGCCTGCTGCCTGGTGGAAGACAAATTCATGCTCCTGCCCTCTACATATCGCATCCCTCTAGAGGGCACTGCCTACAGAGCTGAAGAATACCTCCGTTTTGGCCCAGGAGAGCTGGTGCAGGCTTGGTTGAAGGACTAGCATTCTGGGATGATGGGGGTTTATGGTAGGATGCAGCTGGGTGGTGTCCCATTGCTGAAGTACCTCAGGGATTCTGGATGACAGGAATAGACTGCCTGTGTGCGGATTTGGGATTTAAATATCCTGTGGGACAAGAGTGAAGAGGATTTGCAGACTGGCATGGTGATTCCTGGGGTACCTAGGACAGTTGTACTGGAAAGAAATACAGTGGCAAGGCTTCACAGGGTTGAAGAAGTGCAACTGCAGAGGAATGTTCCTCAGAACTGAGAGTTTAAGGGAATCTGACATGAATTATCCCCTGGACTGATTTTAGAGATGATGGAGACTTATTTAACCTGATCTCAGAGGGTATGCTCCAGTGTATATATATTTGCCTGACAGCTCTTTCTCTGGCAGGCTATAATGATCATTTGAAGAAACAATGGAAAAGACATTGACTAATCACATTCCAGGGCATGTTGACATACGTAGGAAATAACATTAGATCTCTAGGCATAGACAGAGATTTCAAGTCAGGCTTTAGTGATGCCATGTCCTGGCTTGTGATCATGCCAGGTCTGTGCATATGTGGCACTGCTGTCCCTACTTGTATCTGCTGATGCCACCTAATTAGAGCAGTCAACTCTATGCTGTGTGTTTTGGAGGGGATTCAGGCCCTCCTGGGTCTGAGGGAGAATTGTAAGTTAGGCAATTACTTCATAGCATCACCTGAGGCAAGCGCAAACCCTTTCAAAGGGCCTTTGACTGCTCTCTTGTCATCCACAAAAGATCATTAAAGTTACCTGAAAAGACCAGCCAGAATTACAGTCATCAGGGAGGACTCTGAGGATCTAGTTTTACTGCTTAATTAAGACATGCACATGACAGCCTCCCTTTGCTACTGGATGGCAGGAGCAAGCTGGGGCAGACCAAAGGGCTGATGGCAGAAATCTGCTTCTCAAACGATGGGAGCAGACAGCTCGGCCTTAGGAAACCCATCACCATGTCCCGGGAGCAGGCTGAGGGAGCCAAGCCAGGCCTGCCAAGCCAGTGAAGCACGGCCTCGCTTCAGCGCGGCTGGAAGATGCCCCCGGACGCCGGACGCGCTGGCGCGCGGGGTGGGGGGCTTCCCCCGAGGCCGCAACAGCCCCGGGCGCTGCCGAGGGAGGGAGGCGTCACCCCCCGGCACGGCCGGGAGCGGAGCC